CTCCTCCCCCCCCTTCGCCTTCTCCTCCCCCTCCCTCCTGTCATACCCACAGCCTGATATGTACGCAAGATCATGCTCGACAATGTGGTCAACCTCCAAATCAACCCTGCCGTCAACATTGAGATTCGTGTGTCGCGTGATCACGCAGGCTCAGCGACGCTGCTACATGCGACGTTCAGCGCGCCTGGTCATGCCGAAGGAAGCTGAACACATACAGCATGAGAACCCATGCACAGGAGAGTCGCAAGCGATCGTTGCATGAACGCACGAAGTCGGATACACAAAACGGTTGAAGAGGCGATTGCTTTGATGGCATAGGGTTACACGTGTGCCTGAAGACGAGAGCATGCCCGCCAAGACATGCCCAAGAGCAGTCAGCATCGAACCAAGAAACCGGATCAGATCGGAACCTGCGTCGGGGCGGGCTGCATCGGCACGGAATCAAATCAAATACGATCGGCCGCGCCAGGATGCACAACTGCGCCGCGCGAACATCGGGCCGCATCGGATCGCCTCCCAATCGTGACCGGCTCCAATCGAACCCCGACATCGAATCAGATCGACCAAGTCGGAATGAGCCACGACTGGCTGGTGTTCCATGTGATGGCTGTGACTTGGGCACGTCAGATCTTTCCCTATCCACAGCCTGCCCAGGCAGCCTCTGCCGTCCGCAAGACGCCGTGGCCGGTTTGCTCTGCTACCCCATACCCCTACCCCACCTTCCCCATCATTTTCCTACGCCTGCTCCCCCTTGGCGTTCCCCCCTGCACCTCTTCCTGTACTGCACTACACACTCAAAAGAGGCGCAACCAGTTCTGGTACCGTGATGCGTCCGCTCGCACTCGTGCCACCTACACAAAATCGCGCTCTGTCTCTGCGCCACCGGGTCCGCCGCGCCGCCGCACGTCGCGGCTGGCCTTTTGGCGCAGACGCCCCGACTCGCGGCGACGGTTGCCAATGCAGCCAAGGGGGCCATGAAAACTATGATCGCTGCTGCCTGCATACTCCCAGCCCCCCTCCGCGGAGACACCCTTGCCCCTCCTGGGGACCTCCGGGGGGCACCCGCCACACGGGCACCAGGCCGCCCACCAGGAGGGGAGAGTGCCCCACGGAGGGCGCTGGCACGGGCGCCATCGCGCACTCTTTGGGAGCGGCGCAATGCGTTGCAACTGCTGCCTGGGCGCCTCAGCCAGCGCCTGCGCGCGCGTCGATGACGCACGGTCCACCCTCCGCTCGACTGCCGCCAGCCTGCTCCTCAAGGCTGCCACTTCTGCTTCAGCATGGAAGCGAGGTCCGTTTGCAGATCCCCCTCCCTTCTGCCCCCGGGCGGCAACCCCTGACTGCTGACGCCGCCCTCGCGACCGATGAAACTGAGCAGCGCCGCGCGGGCGCCCCTCGCCGCGACCAGGGCCTCGGGGCTCGCCCACCTTCGCTGCTTCGCCGACGCCCTTGCCCCCGAGCAGGCCCGCGCCCTCCAGCGACACGCACGCCAGCGGGCCGATTTTCAGCGCGATCTTCGCGCGGGCCGCGCCGCCCGCCGGCCCGTCGAACCTCGCCCTCCGCGCACAGAACGACTTGAAGATCTCCTCTGGAAGGAAGGGGCGGCCCCTCCAGCGCCAGGCCGAGCAGGCACATGAAGCCCCGCACCGCCTCGATCTTCCCTCGCGCGCCCAGGTCTTCGATCAAGAGCCCATCGATGCCCCGCGCGACGATCTGGACGCGGGGGCTGCCAAGCTGTTTCGGCGCGCACTCCTTTTGCTCCACCGCCGCGCCGTGTTCCTCGCCACCCGCCTCCGCCGCTCGGGCCGCCGCGACCTTGGCCAGTGCCAGCCTGGAGTCTAGCGCCTCGCACTCCGTCGCCCTCGATCTGGCCCTGCGTCGTCCGGGGCGAGCGCCCATCTCGGACCCCAATCCACCGCCGGCCGCGGCCCGCGCACCCCGCGCGCGCGCCGCCGACGCCGAGCCCGCCGGCGCGCCCCGCCCCCCACTGGGAGGAGAAGCAGCTCGTCGCGGACTCCGTCTGTCCCAGCCGCCCCCGCCATCGTTCTCGACCTCCGTGGAAAGGTCGGCGAAGCCCTCGTGGCGCGCGAACGTGGATCTGCAGCTCCAGAGACTGCACGCAGGACCGGTCGCACTCTGGGCACATAGCGCCAACGCGCGCGGCCCATCACGCACGCCACGCACGCCCACTCCGCCTCTGCGCCCCTCGACGCCCATCCACCGACCACCCTAGATACGCGCCGCGCGCCACCCCCCCCCGCGATGGAAGACATCTCGGGGGCCGCAAGCACCGCGGCCGCCGCACTCGCAGTTCGGCCTCTGGCCTCGCAATCTTCCAGCACTGCCACGCCCGGTTGCTCGCGCGCGCGCGAGCGCCGCCGCCCTCCCTCCACTCTGCGAGCCCCCCCCCAAGTCCGCGGTCGCGGTAGTTCGGCGAGCATCGCGACAAGCCTCGCGACCTGGCCCCGCGCCAGGACGAGCACGCGAAAGGCGGAGATCGAGGCCGCTAGTGGAGCCAGGCGCATCTCCACTGCAATTAGCTAAACCCAGAAGAACCCGCAATGCAACAGCCTTGATCTCGACGCGCGCCGCGAGGCCAGCGGCGACGACGGGGCCCAGCAGAGACCGTTTTTTTGAATCGGCGAGAACCTGGGCTATCCGGGGGGGGGGGGCCGGCCGACAACCTAACCTTCGCGCCGCGGGCGCCCTGCCCGTGCCCGCGCCCGCGCAACCGGCAAGGTTAGGTTTTGGGGGGGGGGGCAAGCCCGATGGCCCGGGCCATCGCCAGAACCTTTAAAGAAACAACCCAGAGCGGCGCCCCTGGCAATCGCCCCCCTGAGCGCCCAGGAAGTCGAGGACCCCCTCGCAGCCGCGACGGCCCCGCGGCCCCTCAGCCCCGGCGCGTGCGCCGTCTTGTCCGCGCGGGGCCCTCCCACCACCTCGCTCAAGATCCTGCCGGTCGCACCCGTCGCCCCGTCGAGCCTGCCAGCCGCGTCATTGCCCGACGGCGTCGCGGGCGTCGACGCGAGCCTGGCGACGTCGCCAACGAAAACCGCAGCGTCGCCGAACAGCGGGATCGCCGTCTCCAGCCAGGCGCAGTTCTCCCCGTCCTCCCTCGGCATCTCCAAGGCCTCGCTGGCCGCCTCGGAGTGGGTCGCGACGAACACCGCGGACTGGTGCCGTCGCCGCCTCCTTCGGCGCGAACTCGATCACCCCGTCGGAAGCAGCGACTGCGACGATGGGGTCGCTCGGGAGCTGCGCGAAGATTGGCTTGTCGGTTGCTCTGAGTCTGTCTCCAGCTTAAGTACCCAAGCATTGAATGGCGTTGAATGCACCCTCCGCGCCCCAGCGTCGGGCGCGCTCGCGGGCGCCATGGTCGCGCAGCGCGCCCGTCCACACGTTGTCGCTATCTCACGAAAGCCCCTCTCGCATTCGCCTTGCCCACCTGCTCCTGCC